ATATATATATATATATAAATTACTTGTATCTGCTCAATAATAAAATAGATACAAATAGAGAAAAACATGTATTCTTGGTGTTTGGAAAATCCAACATCCGGCAATAACATTAGGGGCGAACACGTACGTGTCTGAACGACTTTCTATTTCTTGTTGCTTCTTCATTTGTTTTGTCTGTGTAGGAAGCGCCCTTGGACCAAAACGTTTCATTTGTATTGCCCTGTCTTCATACCCCAAGCTTCCACACGATTTGTTCCACTATCTCCTTCACTCAGCTTCAACCCAGTCCTTCACTTATCATTCTCTATTTAGTCGGGCTACGCAGGCTTTTAGCCGGTAAGATTAGACTAGTGTTGTTTAGTATTATTTGTGTTTTCCATTCCCCCCACACACTTTTTTCTCACTACAACTCTTGAATGACAGAATGAATTTTTTGGTGTTTATTATTGTGTTGTCTGATGAAGAAAAAAATGCTTCCTGCTCAAAGATCATTTTCATCGTGGCGTCTTTCTTTCCTTTTTTTTAAAAACTTTCAAGCATGTCCTAATCTTGTTACACTATTTATCGAAATCTGTGACAAGCCACGAGTATTCGATCCTGTATTACCGTGACACTTAACCTGCGTTAACTTCAGACAATGAATTTATCACATCGATACCAAGCAGTGATTATCTCAGAAATTTTCCCTGGGGGGGGGGGGCACTGCGAATTTTTCGGGGGGGGTGAGGTTTACAGTGCCAGCACGGCCAGCTGATTTATTGTTGGACATATTTTGGCGATGGGGGAGGGCGGCACTAGGCTTTCCCCGGGGGTAGTGCCCCCCCCCCGAGATATAGCTGAAAGAAACCCCGATACCAAGTCCAACTATTGATTACTCGCCAACAGAAGATGTTTGTTTTTAGATGGTATATTTGTTCATGCGTTTACTATGCTGCACAATACATTGATTAACTTGAAGAGCTTTTTTAACGACGTTAATATTGATTCAATACGAAAAAACATATTCAAATCTTAAACTGTTGAGCTAGCATTGATCTACAATCCTATTTGACGCTTAAGACAACAATCACAACATTTAAGATAAAAAAACACCAAAAAAAAACCAACCTTTCATCTTATGGTTCTATAAGGTAATATTTAAACTTTAGGTTGATTGGTTGCATATACTATAATAGGCAACGAAATTAAGTATTGACAGTGGATAGCCTTCGTCAACCATTTGTGTCAGGAAATAATCCACTTTTAGGAACAGGCAGTTGCCAGATACCTCAATAGAAATGACGTAGTACAGCCACCCCACCCCCTCCCCATTGATCGAGAAGATAACGGCCTTCATTTTATAGCAAAAGACTTACGAAACAATGATCACAGTATAAAAAAAAAATAGCAATACCTTCCTGTGCAAGGCTACGGAAAAGACTCACAGGCGCACACATGCCATTAGTGAGCGGACGGTCCATGATCCAGTTCTGTGTGGTGTGCGGCCCATGACCCAGTTCTACGTGGTGTGAAGCCCATGACCCAGTTCTGTGTGGTGTGCGCCCCATGACTCAGTTTTTCTAAAGAAAAAAAATCAAACGATATACTTGGATTCAGACGTTTGCGCCCGAACCCCCCCCCCCCCCCGGTTCCGCTTGGGGCTCGCTGTGTGGCCAGGGTTTCTTTCAGGCATCTCTCCGGGTGTGGGTGGGGTGTATTGCACCCCATTTTCCCCCGGGAGAAATGAGTACACCAATAAAACGAAAATATACAATAAAAGAACTACTACATTGTAATTTGTATATACATTTAAAAAAAATGATAAGTTGTTCCTCTAAACGAATACAATTAGTGGAACCAATGACATAACTATACGCTTGATATATTTGATGTTCCGTGCATTTAAGGCTAATCTTGTTACAAGCGTACACAAGTCGATTATAAATATCGTACTGTTTCAGAAATTGGCCGCTCCTGATTATAAGCCGAAGGTTACATATCGTTGTTCGCATATTTCGAGATGTTTTTTTTGAATTATTTTTTTTGCCACTTCAATAGTGTTAAAATTTTAATATTTCTTGCCAAGTATTAAACATATGAAATCTGTTTTCATATTATATTTCATCATAAAAGCATGACTTTTAAAGTGGAGATTTAAAATTACAAATGAAGTTTATGATAGCCCCATGCTTTAAAAATATACAGTTATAAGAATACTTTGTAATCTACTGGAGTCTATGTATATTGAGCTGGTAAAAAATAAAACGTAACAAATTGATTTTCTTTTAAATTAACAGTTAACAAATAGTGCAAGATTCAATAATGATATACCTTTTTAGTATGAAAACTTTTGAGATTCCCTGACTTTCCCAAGAGGGATATTTTTAAACAAATACAAATCTGGTCAAAATGTCCTTATGAATAGTGACCTATGTGTGTCTATGTCCCCATTGGACCAAAGCTCAGTGACCTATGTGTTTCCATGTCCCCATTTGACAAAAGCTCAGTCGCCAATATAATTTATCTGTGTCTCAATGTTAACCCTCAGTGGCCTATGTGTGTTTATTTCCCGATTGACCAAAGCTCAGTGGCCCATGTGTATCTGTTTCCCCATTTGACCAAAGCTCAGTGGTCTATGTGTGTCTGTTTCCCCATTTGACCAAAGCTCAGTGGCCTATGTGTGTCCATGTCTTCATTTGACCAAAGCTCAATGGCCCATATGTATATGTTTCCCATTTGACCAAAGCTCAGTGGCCTATGTGTGTCCATGTCCCCATTTGACCAAAGCTCAGTGGCCTATGTGTGTCTCTTTCCCCATTTGACCAATGTTCAATGACGTTTATATGTCTATGTCCCCATTGACAAATACTCGGTGGATATATGTGTTTATGTCCCCGATTTGACCGACGCTAAATGACCTTCATATGCCTATCTCCCCATTTGACCCACACTATTTGGTCTATAGGAGTCTGTGTCGTCATTTGACCAACACTCAGTCATCTATATCCGTCGATGTCACAAATTGACAATAATTAGACTCAACTGATTATAACTTTTCTATAAATAGATACGACCGACCTGACGCTATTCCCCTTATGATGAAACTAACCAGACAGAGTGCATTTCAGCTACGTAATTGTACAAGTGGCATACCAAATCCATATTTAACACTTCCTCGGGTAAGTCTGGACAGCGTATAAATTACCTAAACCATATTTTACACTTTAAATTTTAAGTGTGACTAGACGAAGTAAAAATTCAAACGTATCGACAAATTACTTCATCGGTACTACAACAACAAAAATATTAATATAAATTATAAATTAAATTTACATAATACATATTTATATATCTTACCTAGATCTAAAATTGAGAGAAAAGAACAAAAAAAAAGAAAGGGAACTAACGAAAACAAATAGAAGAAAAAACAAAATATAGATGGAATCACAATAAAGACGTTTGTACAAAGTGCGAAAATCAACACTCAGGGGAGATAGTTCTTCACCTTGGAGAAA